CAGTGGCTACTAGCCTTTCTGGCTGTGGGCTACCTCCTTTACCAGAGGTGGCCTGCCTGCATACACCAGCTGCTGAGGAGCTTGGGCAGGCATTGGTCTTGCATCCATCCTGCTTGACCATTCCTGTGGGCAGCTAGTTTGCCACCATGTATATGGAGTGCTGGACGAGATTTATTTATTTATTAGATTTATATCCTAACCCTTTATGCCAAAAAGGCTCTCTTTCATCTGAGCCAATATGGTTTTTCTTATGTTTGCATGTTCATTTTTTTCTGCATCCCTTTTCAATTAATGGTAGCTCTAGATGCATCCAGTTCTTTGCCATCAGCATCTGTGCTCCTGTTAATAGGCTGCTAGAAGTACTTTGCCCTTATTTACTGCATTCTCAAAGTATTTAATAACAGAGCCTGGGGAGTTCTGGGAACACGATTCCCAAGTATTTCTTGAATGATTTCCACTACTTCTTTCCAAAATTTTTTACATCCAATATATTTCAATATTTCCCCTTCCCATCTTTTTGATTAATAGAAAGCTGTAACTGTCAAGCCACTTTTCTCCTCTCACAGCACTGAAGCCCAGGTGACCGCAGTGGCTCAAAGCCCCCATGGTCAACTGTGGCTTGTTTGCCAACAACGCCCATTCCTGGAGAGGGATGGCCTAGCTATGGTGATCCATGCACTGGTCACCTCATCATTGGACTACTGTAATGTGCTCTAGGTGGGGATGCCCTTTTGCTCCATTCAAAGTTGCAGCTACAGCAGAATACAAGGAACTTGGGAGCAAGTTGGGATATATAGCATACATAGCAGGGTACATATAAGGAAAAGAAAGACTGCCTTTCTTTATATATACCCAGCTGACATTTAAGTTCATCAGAGGAAGCCTTGCTGGCCATTCCAAAATTAATGCAATATCACCCAGTAATGACTGGTGGTGGGCCTTACTGGTACTGACTTCCACCCTGTAGAAAACCCTCCCCCTTGCAGTTTTGAAAGCAAAGCATGTGGCATGTTTCAAACACCTCCAGAAAATGCACTTGATCACCTACACATTCCCTGACTTATAATTAAAGGAATCATTTTTTTCTTTTAATGTGCATGCATGGTTCTTAATTTTTATAATTGATAGCTTACAATGTTGTCCTTTTATATGTGACTTGTATAAGTTACATTAACTAGGTAACATAACACAGTTCCACAAATGGGATTCAACCACCAAGAAGAACTCTCTCCTATTTGCTGCCCCTCTTACTTCCTTAGGGGGTGGCTCTCTGAGAAGGACCTCTCCAGCAGATCATAGTGGTTGGGTAAGAATAAATGAGAGCAGGTGTTCCTGCAGATATTTATTATGAAAATATGTAAATGCTTTTGGGAAGCATGACATCCGTCACAAACCATGATTACAAAGACTATGAACACCAAACTATGAAAATACTGTAAGTACTATGTAAATATTTAGAAAGACTAAAGCTGCAGTCATCCACTTGTATCCATAGTTTGTGACTTGCATCAAAACATACAATCTGTTACTCTAAAGTTCTAAAAAACCATATACATGTTAATCAAACTTTAAACTATAGGATGCTATGAATAGCTATAATGTTCTGGTTACTGTGTTAGTGATATATTCTTATGGTTGTCCTATCAGGTCTTCTATATTTTAAGCTTTTATCTTCACTTATAGGGACTGCAGGTGGCGCAGTGGTTTAAACCACTGTGCTGCTGTGCTGCTTGATCGAAAGGTAGCCGGTTTGAATCTGCACAACGGGGTGAACTCCCGTTGCTCCGTCCCAGCTCCTGCCAACCTTGCAGTTCGAAAGCATGCAAATGCAAGTAGATGAAAAGGTACCACTTCGGTAGGCAGGTAACAGCATTCCGTGCACTTTGGTGTTTAGTCATGCCAGCCACATGACCACGGAGACTGTCTGCTGACAAATGCTGGCTCCCTCGGCCAGGAAACGGAGATAAGCACCACCCCCTAGAGTCAGGCATGACTGGACTTAATGTCAAGGGGAAACCTTTACCTTTACCTTTTTATTCACTTATAAATCTGTTATCTAAATTCCTTCTTACAAATAGCTTTTAGTTATACAGTACTGACCTATAGTCATTGTTATATACATAATCCATGTTAACTTTGACTAATACTATTAGTTGACTGATGGAATATGATGGCTAGAACCCTCTCTATGAGCAAATTACCAGTTTGCTTCTGGGTGAATTTGGTAACAAAGAGCTTTTTGTGCTCCAGGGCCATTGAGTTGAAGGGAAGTATAAAGCCAAAAAGTCTTACCCTATGCAATTAAGAGAATGAACAAGTAAGGTTACTGTGTCATTCAGTTTCGATGGAATCCTTAGGAAGTGAGCACTTGTTTTTTTATATTCTTAAATGTAGGAAACTAGAACCTTTGCCTCTGAAATGTTAATGCCTCAAACAGGCTTCAAGGGGACAAGAATAAATTTTCAGCACAGTGGGATATAAAGTTTGCTGTTCTCTCTCACAATGTCGAGAGCTCCATTACAAATTCTTCATGCTTCACACTGACAACATAGCTGCATGAAATGGGTTTAACAGGCTTAACACACGATAACACTGAAGTGCCTTGAATAGCTGAAAAGAAAAAGGTCCATGAAGAAGTTAAAAGAGTCATTACAAGTGTAATGGCATAGATGATATTAGATATCCTCAAATAAAAATAGAATTGCAGGTCTTCCACATAAAGAACCACATTTTATTCAGGATATGATGATGCCCCATCGTCATAACCTCCAGGCTACCTGACAATTTAGCTGCCAAGAATGAGTTCAAAAGTCAACAATGAAAGAACCTAAGTTATGGTTCTATTGCTGAAGTCAGGATTAGTTCTCATAGACCATTGACATTTATGGTTATGAAAGAATATCCCTGTAACTTAATATCCAATCTTCAATAGGCAATCTTTGCAATTATTCTATGAGAAAGAGACATATGAGCTGGGCCAACAGAGGAACAAACTCCACAAGGAATAGCAATGTGTCTACATTTATAGCAATGTCCCACTGTTATTGGTTCTGATTGTTCTTGTCCATGAGTGCTTTTAAGTGAGCACTGTGTGTGCATTATGAGAACTGGCTTCTGTGAATTCATTCTACTAAAATATATAGGAACTCGTCTGTTAACACCATCAGCTATATTTGTATAGGTCAAATTATGCATCTTTGCAGTGTGACAAAACCTTAATGAGGTACCAAACACAGTGATGATCACAGGTTGGCTGAGTGTACTGCATTTGTATCTTCCATTCTAAAGGATGGGAGGAAGGGGTAGGAATATGACATGGCATTCAACGGGATTAAGGAAAGCAGATAATAAGAAAACTGTGGACCATCCTGTATGGGATGGGATGTTATTTGCCAACAGCTTTTAATACCAACAATACAATTCAAAGCTGTGTTAAGAGCTATGCACTAAAGCTGCAATTATGAGTCAAGGCCCTGTACAACAGCAGATGTGACAAAGTAGTTTTGACTGCTCAGATTAAATAGATAAACAGATCAAGTAGACTAGAAGGCACACCCTGTCCTCTTTGAACAGTTAGCTACTGAATTCCAGAGTGGCTTCAACTATGTGCTCAGCCCCAGGACTCAATAGAGGAGTTCAGGCATAAGATAGTAGAAAAGCATGGCAGCAACTCCTCAGACAATGAGGCTGTGAGCAGAACAACATCCAATAGTGGCTGGCAGCTTTTCATTTTTGCTGTGAGTGCCACTGCCAGTCTATGTATGGATCTGCTTTCTTCTTTCTCAGTTCCCAAACAAATCAGAAAGAAAGGATGATGTAAGGCATGGCTTCTTCCAGAAACTGTGTAAATGCTTTGGGCAATGGTGCTTCTAAATACTTGTTTATAATTTACAATATAGGGAGGGGCATGTAGCCCAGTAGATGTAAGACTATGGTTAGAGATCACCTAGGTGCTTTGAATGAGTTGGAAGTCTCCAGGTCTAGATAAATATCATGCTAGAGTGCTAAGGAACCCTACAGATGTTATTTCAGAGCTTCTACCCACAATCTTTGGGAATTCTAGGAGGTGATCTTTTTTTTTTCCAAAAAGGAGAAGAAAATGGATCTGGGAAAAACTACAGACCCACCAACTTGATGCCAATGATTGGCAAAATTCTAGAATACATGATTAAGTGGCTAATTGGTGAGCATCTAGAAAAAAATGATTGATGATCAGGAGCCAGTTTGGGCTTATTAAGAATAAATCACTTCATAACTACTTCCTCTCCCTCTTTCTAAAGTAGGGTTACTAGTATGGTAGATTATGGGTATCCTGTGTACTCATGATGTCTTAACTTCAACTGTGCTCAGTGCCGCCTCATTAGTACCTCTGGAACATCTTGGTGGGAGGTGTTGAATGGTGTGTTACAGGGCTCTGTTCTAGGCCCTGTGTTGTTGAATAATTTGTAAATAATGTAGATGATGATTGTATAGTTTACAGGTGACACAAAACTTAGGAGGAACTGTTAACATCACAAAAGACAGAGTGGAAAAGTGATGCATTTGAGACATAGTGCTGGTGGAGAGCTCTGTGAATACCCTGGACTAACAGAAAGATGAACAAATGGGTCTCAAATCAAATCAGTCCAGAACTTTCCCTAGCAGCACAAATGACAAAACAGAAACTGTCATACTTTAGGCACATCATGAGGAGGCAAGAATCACTGAAGAAGACCATTGTGTTAGGGAAAACTGAAGGCAGAAGAAGAAAAGGAAGGCTGAATATGAAATAGATTGATTCCATAAAGGAAGCCATGGCCTTTAATTAACAAGAGCTGTGCTGGTTGTCATTCTGGAAGGCATTCATTCATAGGGTTGCCATAAGTCAGCGATAACTTGACTACACATAACAACATGATATAAACAGACAATTTTCTATCCCCACCATGTAATTAGTGTCCTCAGCAACACCAGAATATCAGAGGAGAGACCACATGTTTATAAAAAGGTACTCATCTTACCTGGTACCAGATGGAGGCGGCTGGGTCTCAGGAAAAAATGGTGGAAACTTTGAAACACTGGTTGAATTATGCAGAACTGGCTTTTCTCCTTGGCTCTGAAAAAATATTAGATAAATAGACCAGAATGGCCAAAATGGAAATATAATGACTGTATAATGCACGAACTTATACAGTCAAATGCTGAGAGTTCTTAAAATCCTATAATTCTAAACTTCGGCACAATTTTATCTACTTCTCTAGTCCTCTTTCTCCCATCGTATTACTGGAGTTAAAAATTCCTGATGCATTACAATAATGAGTTGAGAATTGGTTTCAACATGACAAACTTTGGTTTCAGGCTTTTCAAATGGCCTGGTAAATGTTGGCTGATTAGAATCACTTATGGAGCTTAGAAATGTATGCAGACTATATCCAGGCACTTAAAGATCCTCATTGTATTCTTTAGCAGATAAAAATACAAAATCCTGAGCTTGCATATATGCCAAATAAGATGAAGGCAAAATTGACCCAGACTTTGTCATTCTCATCCACACCTACAGCAACTAAAGCAATTCCAAAGAATGAGGATCAGGACACCATAATACCTGCAAATTTGATGACTCCTCAGACCACCAAACTTCAAAGTCTTTTTGCAACTTCACCTTTGCTTTCTCCATAAGCAGCTGCAAGTGTTCAATCTCTATCTTCAGCCCTTTCAAGCGAGTAAACATTGTTTTGTAACTGCAAACCGGAAAAGAAGTTCACTAAAGAAGAATAATTTTGAAGCATTTAGAAATGCTGACAGGTACTATGTGGGACTGCATTGAACTGGTTGTTACAAGTCGTCTGTAGGCAACCATACAAGAGTAATAGAGTTTAAGGTCATGTAGTCCAACAATCTGTCATAGGTAACATTCTGAAGTTGATTGAAGGTACAATCTTATGCATACCTCTCTGCCTGCATAACTGGTTGAATACTGGGAGTTGTAGGACATTCCTCTATCTAAACCTGCATAAGATGGCACCATGTGACAGAATGGATGGGTCCAACATTAACATAGTGCTACTACCACTGCAAAATTGTCCATGGAGCTAGTGTGATGCTGTGTGCTCCAGATTTGGATTTGTGGCAATCCTTTTCTTTGCCAGGGCCCAGCTCTGTAATGTGCAATCCATGAGCAAAAATTATCTTTGGACATTTGCAGAATGGCATTTCCTTCTAAATGAGTCACCAAAAAACCTTGCTGAATAGGCTTTCAGATCAGAGAGTGTAGCTTTAGTGTATCTGCAAGATTTGGAGCTCCCAAACATATTTGTTAAGAAAAAGCAGAAATTTCAATTTAGGAACAGGAAACCAATTTGGGTCTACTACTGTTTCACTTTTTATGGAATTTGTTCCTTTTCAAGCTCTACAGCCTATTCTTCAAGATTTTTTCCTTCTCCCACACCCACCAACCCAGTGTTTGGGACAGAAATCAGGACTGCATGGATTGTTTAGGAAGAGAAATGCTTCTATAAAGTATGTATAAATATTCAGAGTCCCTTATATACTTTGCCTCAATTACTTAACAAAGCAAGACTTTTGCTAGGTGGCCAATAACACCAAGTATGATTGCAGTATTACTATGAAGAGCTATTCTGACTAATCCCAGTCTTTACATATGGCTTAAGTATGACTAAATTTGCATTTAGTTACATTGCATTTTATTGATATCTAAAGCTTGAATTCTTCCTGTGCTATAAGCTCACAAACTATGCAAATTGTATTTAGATTTTGTATATTGAAATGTTATGCTGCATTTTATTATCTGTATATTATTATCTACATTTGTATTTTGTAATTTTTATGAATTGCTGTCAACAATTGTTGTCAGCTATTGAGCAGTATAGAAATGAAATCAAATAAAAATAAAACGTATGTAAAGGTAAGGTCTTTGATCTATTTTTTTCTATCTCAGCATTTTTGCCCATCATACACAATGGAGAAATATTAACCTACAGTATTCTTATTTAAAGATAATGAAACTAGTCTAAACCCATTGTACAGAAGCAGTAAAGAGGAATACTTTAGCTATAGTTGTCCTGCAGTGAAAAGGGACTAGGTTAGATGGCTATTAAGGCCACTTCCAAATCCACTGTTCTGTGCTGGGTACTTATAATCTGGAATGGTTGCAGGACAGCTCCAGTGAGGAAGATTCCATAGGCAAGTTCATGACATGAGAAGCCATGATGCAATCTTACTGTTGTGGGTCTGTTGTGTTGTCAAGATGCAGTTCTGGAGTTCTTGCATCATAGCTTGATATATTTCCATGAGCTGAGTGATGTGTCCATCTCCCTGCTTATGCTTGGAAACAGGGAGACAGTGCAAAAATACAGGGAGAGAAAGTGGGGAGTCATGGTGAAGTGTCACAGACATGCAGGTGCATTTGGGAGGGGAAAGGGGGAACCCACCTCAGGACTGCAGCAGACCAATCAGCAGACTGTTGCACTCTATATGCTTGAATAGGGAAAAACTGGAGATTTTCCTCAAGGAACTGCTGGGATGTGCGGTGAGGGCAGGTGGATGGAGTGGGTGGGTGTGGAAATCATGCTGCACTCTGAACCATGAGATTGTCTGACTGGTTGATTTGGGCAAAAATCCATGCATTGTGGAAACAGCGCAGAGTTGCTGGCTGTGCATATGAATGCAGTCCATGCGTTTATTCCAGTGAACAAAAAACTCTGGGATTTAGGCACACCACGCCACCACCCATGGTCATCCAGTTGTTTGGCAGTGTTGCAGTTGGAACTAACCACAATGTAAGATATCATACTTGGTGCATATTGACTAAATAAGGCATCAGTTAAGGGTATGAGAGTTAACTGTACTTGTCCAGTGTATCTGAATTTGAGTTGAATTTTGAAAAACCCTTAACACAACATGTTAAACCAAAATGTTAATTGACTAGAACACAAATATATATGTAAGTTAATTCTTAACTTCATAAAAGAAACATAAAGTTTTTACAAAGTGATACACAAACTGAAATAACCTTATCTTCTCCTTTTCAATTTGTAACCGGAGTGCCTCTTCTATTGAATCTGGTTCATTTATTTTTTGAGGACTCACAAGAGCTGCAAGATATAATCAGTATGAACAATTGTAAAATATGGCATTAAAGGAAAATGTTTATATGCCGGAATGATGATTGCCTTGTATGTCTTGTACAAAGGGATACCATGCAACCCTTTTTAGCCAGTGAGTCCAGTTTCTAACAAAGGGATAGATTCTGACCTTGATACAGAAGATTGTCTTTAGTAAATTGAAGCATTTTTTCCCTTTTGGGTTTACCTCAGGGCAAGATCAAAATCTCATTTCTAAGTAAAAATGTGCCTAATTTTCAAATATGCCTTAAATGCCTGACCACACTTTTTGTATCTGTGGTGCGTGTGCTTTAAATTAGTAGTTGTCAAATAGGGATTTAGGATCATGACTGCAGAATGCAGGGAATGAGGTCTAACCTTTTCCATCCATACTGCAGTCCTAATGAAGAAGTGTTAACCCTTTCCCCCTGCATGCTCCATAATCCAAATTCTAAGTGGCTTTAAAAAAAAAAAACATCAGCATCATCAACAGATATGTTAAAAGTGATCACAAATTTAATAATGTTGTGTTTGGACCTCATACTCGGTGTCAAATCCTGACTTCCCAAAACTGGGCCTCAGGTTTCAGTAAAGCTGTTACCACCATAATTCCAATCATCAGATTTTAGCTATTAAATGTTTCAATAATGATCCGGAGAGAACAGATATTTTAGGACACCCCCCAAAAGCACCCTGCATGGAATCTTCTCTTGCTGCCCCATTCCCGTAGAAGACATCTCTGGTTGAGAAGCAGGAGCTTCCATCAAGGGCAGCAATCCCAGCTGAGGCAGACATATCTCAGCCTTTCTCTTTTTCTCAGATCATAGCCAAGTGGGAGGCCTGGTAGCTCTGAATTCTCAGGGCTTTGGCTTCCCACAGCTGGGGCTGGCTTCACTGAGTTTCCCTCTGACTCAGAATTGATGTCACAGGCTATGGTCTCCCCGAGAATGGAACAAGGTCTGACTCATCACTCAGTGTATACTGGGGATGTGCAAGGAATTTGTTTTGTGTGGGAAAATGGCCAGACTCCCTGGTTCAGGCTTCCCAGACTCTGGTCTGCTTTACAGCAGCCCCGAATCCAACTCCCTGGTAGGGGTGCTCAGGATCTGCAGAGTGCTCACCAGGAATTGCTGTGCAAGTAGCGCCATTCTTCTGCACTCTCCACTTCCAATAGCAGCAATAAGTGAGGAAGAAGGTTGGTTGCTGGAAATGGCAGCTGGGGAAGGTTGCCAATTGTGCACTCAGGGTCCACAAGCATTCATGGCTTGGCTTGCTTTACAGGACTGGGACGAGCACACAAGGAAGTCTGCAGATGCTGGAGGGATGGATTCTGAAAATTCTGAAAGTATTTCAGGAGGGATGGATTCTGAAAGTGTTTATCCCAACCCTAATGTATACAAGCTTTGAAAACAAAGATGTCTTGGACATGCTGATGCCCTCAAGGATATTGTATGTGGATGTTCATCTTGCCATTTCTAATTGACTTCTTCATGGTTTAATGTTAGATCAAGAACATGCCGCTGCTCCTTGTTCAGGGACAAGGGAGAGAAGGGCTGTTGCCAGTCATTGTTCATCATCCTTCTGTCTGAATCACATCTTTTAATAGGTTCACTGGCAGTTCTTCAGCTGAAACAGTTCTAGGCTTTAAGTAACTGCTATATCTAGTCTTCATTATACTTTTCACCCCACTGAGTTACTAGCTTTTAGGAATGTATTGTAAATGTTTCTCTGCTGATAAAAGATCTGGGCTGACTGGTCCCAAGTCCTTCACCTCCTCTAGCTTAAACTTTCCCTCTAGACCTTATGTTCTTGGCAAAGGTGTGGTCATTTTACAGACATGTAACTGAACTAGCGGGGGACTGGGAGGTGAAATGTGCTGAATTCTGGTGGTCAATGAGACTGATAGCCAGAAATGGCACCCAGTGGAGCAAACCACCTTGAACCCATGAACTTCTGTCTAAAGAAAACCCATACATTTCCCACCCATAAATAGGGAATAACAAGCACACAACAAATACCTCATGAAGAAAAACTCTCTGCATGTAACCAATAAAAGAGAAGAAAGAACTAGGAAAAAAGATATAGAATGCAAACACATCTGTATTCTGGCACTGTATGTTCATCAGGAGTAGCCTCATATGCACAGACCTCATCATTTGTTGAAAACTGATGGGGTGGCATGGTTTTGTGTACTATATAGAAGAGGTCAGATCAGCAAGGATAAGCACAAGCAATTTTCTCTTATTCTGCATAATCCTTGCAATGGTCTCCCCAGAGAGGCTTGACTGAACTCTTTCATGCAGGTTTCTAAAAGGCCAGTAAATACCTTCTTTGATTCTATCATCTTCTGGACTGTTACACGTTAACTGATTTGCTGCGCACTGATATTTTATGGCTATTCTTTTTATGCTTTGTGTTGTTTTAATTGTACTTTAAATGTATGGTTTTGGTATTATCGTACATTCCTTTGGCTGGGGTTCTATCCAGAAAAAGCAACTTATATATTATATATAAATTTTTGTGTTATCTAATAGCCAAAAGCTGTCAGTTCACAAATATTCATCTATCAAACACCTTCTATCACTGTGCACTCGCACACACGCACACACACATGCATGCACATACACTCAGAGAGTGTGACAAACAGTTAAATTACACTGAACTGACTTAGCTAAAACTTCAGTTGTCAGGGACAAAGGAGCAATCTGCACTTCCAGGCTTATCACTGAAGATGGGCTCAAGGTTATCTAGCTGAGAACTGTTGATCTTGGACAGTAACAGCACGAATTATTAGCAGCTGGGAAAGTTGAGGCTTCTTGGATTAATACCTTGGGCAGGTATCACTCCATTGCCAGGAGTGGGACTCAAAACCCCTCTGGCTCTTGCTTGGTTCTTTATCTAGTGAGAGGTGTCACTTCCTGACCAAATGCTGAGGTCTTCACAGCTGTAGCTTAGGGTTAGCTTTATTATTTTTACTTCTGCAGTGCAACAAGGAATTGACTAATATTGGCCATAATCTGCAGATATTTTATAACTTTGTTGCTACCCACCTGCCCTTTCTCCTTTCTTATCTGTAACTCCAGTCCCCCACCTCACCCCCTTCTCACCTAATGCTTTAACAAACTCTCATTTAGCCTGATTAGGTATTTGGGTGAGTTGTGGTACTAAATCTGGTGTCTTAGCCATGGGGGCTCAGTTTGGTTCTTGGGTAGGTTTGGTCCATCCATGGTGGGTCAGAGAAGGAGTTTTCTCTAGCTTACCATTACACACACATACAAATTGTGTCTGTGCAGTACAAGCACCATGACAAACTAAGCAGTAGCACTCAAATTTCATATTTATTATTCAAAAAAGTCAAACAAACTGAACTCAGTGATGCAAGAAGAAGTCATAATGATTTAAAGAACATCAAAACAGAAGTTTTACTTTGAATATTAGGGCAAGCAGTTCTAGATTTAAACAACACAGATTTGATATTTTCAGCTAAAGAAAAAAATGAAACAAAAGCTGCATGGTATAATATTAAAGAATTTTTCCATCACAAGATTTAGCCATACTATTTTTTTTTTTCTGATTTATATCCTGCCTTTTTCCTACAAAGGGCTCAAGGCAGCTTACATCATTCTCCTCCTCCATCTTATCCCCACAACAACAACCCTGTGAGGTAGGTTGGGCTGAGAGTCTGTGACTGGCCCAAAGTCACCCAGTTGGCTCCATGGCCAAGCTCTTCCCAAAAGGAAGCTGCCATTGGGCACTGCCAAACATGAGGAACAGAGACATTAGCAGCATTGCATCTCCAACAATTGGCCGATGTAATTAAGTCTTATCAAAAAGAAGCCGTGATGTCCCTTATACTTGAATTATGTGTAGTCTAAGATCCATGATCCCTTGTGAAATAGATAATAATGAAGCTTTCCATGATTGGGCAAAACGGGATGCTCCAATTCATTAGCCATTCTTGACTGAAACCATGTGCATCACATTTATTCACTGACAATGAATAAGTTTAGACATGAATTTTAGGTCGATGTAGCTGTTTGGTTTGGCTTCCAATAACCCAGGAGGCTCTGTAAAAGCAGGAAGACCAAAACTAGAGTCTAATAAATTTTTCAATCACATATATTGCCATGTCGCTATAGCTGACAATTGATATTTGACATGAAAAGCAGTATATTCACACTATCCCACAGACCTAGCTATATATAAGTCTACCTACCAATGTTCCATGAGAGCTCATTAATCAATTTACTCAAATTCAACTTAATCATTTGTGATATATCTCTTGGGATAAATATTCCCAGATAATTAATAAACTCTACACAAATTCTAAATTGCTAATTAAACACTCTATAGGTCTGTATTATCTTCATTAGACAGGTCTGAATAGAACAACCAGCCAAATGTCTGAAATTATTAATTGTCTGGATCTAAGTTAGAATGGATGACTGGAGTTCTGAAATAAAGAAGAGATGATAATCAACATAGAGAATACATTTATATTCTAACTTATTATGCATCAAAGCCATGGATATTAGAATGTTGTTGAATTTAGGGGTTCCAAATTTAAATTGAATATCAGTGAGGAAAAAGGCCATCCTGCCTAGTACGTCCCTCAAGTAAACTCAGATAGGACTCCACTGGTCCTAACTCTGGCTGTTAACATTTCATATAAAATGTTAGCCCATTTCTAAAATTTTGGAGGAATATCAAAACTTCTCAATGTGACAAAACAAATTCTAATATATTTTACTGAAGGCCTTGTCCACATCCAAAGAGATAATGGCATCTTTGCCTGTTCTATCCTTCTATCCACAAGCAATCTAAGATTATCTTCTCCCTTTTTATTTTAATGAATCCCATCTGATCCAATTGGATTAACAATGGTATAAGTCATTGTGGTCTGTCAACCAAATTGCAGTTAATATTTTAATATCAACACTACTCAATGAAATATGTTGATAATTAGCATACAGCATACTAAAAAGCAGAGA